ACCGGCCCATAATATTCTTGGTAACGGAAGCAAATGAGGCTGCTTCGACCCACTTCGTGAAGTAATCAATAACAACCAAGATGAAACGATGCCCATTGGATGTAGTAGGCCTAATCTTTCCAATCATATCAATGTCCCACATTGCAAACGGCCAAGGAGCAGTCAAGACATTCAGAGGAATCGAAGGCACATGTACTTTGTCAGCATAAATCTGGCATTTGTGACAAGTTTTGGAATGGCGATGGTAATTAGTTTCCATGGTCGACCAATAATAACTCGCTCTCAAAATTTTCTTAGCCATCATATACCCGCTGGAATGAGTACCAAAGACCCCTTCATGCATATCTTCCATAATCTTCTCGGCTTCCTTCTTGTCTACACAACGAAGTAGAGTCGAATCATGATTACGCTTGTACAAAATTCCGTTACTCAGAAAGAATTTGGCAGAGAACCTCCGTAGGAATTTCTTATCGTTGATAGATTCCCTTTCGGGATATTCTTGAGCCTCGAGGCATCTTTTTACTTCATGGTACCACGGCTTCTCCTCTACTCCCTCATTATCAACTTCGTAGAAATACGCCGACTCATCTAGTCTCTCAATAGTAATTCGAGGAGCTTCATTATCTCATATGACTTTGAACATAGACGACATAGTAATTCTAGTTTTTGACAAATTTTGAGATTTTTGGAATGTGATTTCTCTTACAAGGTTTCATGTCATTTGTCTTGTCAGAATCATGAGAATATATAGTGGAAAATTAGGTCAAGAAGAATGAGCTTGGACGTTTGTATGAAAGCCTTTGATTTTGTTTAATTTAATTTTGAATTTAAATAAATAAAATATAAAATAAATGGAATAAAAATCAAAGGGGTGTATGAATGGATTCAGAGGTTCACTATGAGGCCTAAAACACGTCCGGACCTTGAAAGATAAGCCCACTATCCCAAAAATTCAAGTTTGATCAATTTAGGTTTCATGCATTTTCTCAAAATTTCCCAACTTGCACCAATCATAACTCTCTCAGTTTTTATTATATGAAGGTGATCTTGGACTCTTTTGAAAGCTCAATATGTGCTTTACAATCTCTATGTTTATCATTTTTTCATTTGAAGAATTTATCTTGATGTAAGTTGCCTTGACAAAAATTGTCTTTTTGTTGACTTTTGAAATGACCTATAATGTTTTAGCTCATATCTCTCAAATGAAGCATTTTTGGACTTGAGCTTAGAGAGACAAAGTAGTAGAGAATTGAATTTCCTTCAAGGTGATTTTGGTTCAGAAAAATATGATGAAGCATGTGAAATTTATGCTTGGTAAAAGTTCAGTTGACTTCTCCTTAAGAAAACACTAATTTGGTAACTTTTGACTTTTGGTAAATTGGGAGTTTTCTTTATGAATCATGATCAACCATTGACCAAATCATGAATGTGACCTTAAAATATTGATGTTGACAAAAAATCTTGAAGTTTGACTGTATGTTGACCACAATTGACTTTTTGTCCAATATAGTTTATTTTCAATCATTTGAGCAATTGACTAAGCAAACTTGTGATGCAAGGCTTCAAATTTGGAATGAGCATTCCTTGAAACATATGAGGAACCATGAAATCCACTTGAGGCATTTTAAGCTCAAATTTCCTTGAGAAAAGTGAAACCCTGGTTGTAGGCCAACTACTTAGGAGGAGAATTTGTCTGATCAAACCTTGAGTAGCATTGAGCAATAGAAAGCCCTAGGAGCATAAGGAGATATCTTGAAGAAAATGAGAGGGAAAATTTTGGAGTACAACAATTTCTAGTTGGATTAGTTATGTTAATGAGTTAAGTATGCCAAGTGTTTTCTCAATTGCCAAAGCGACTTGGTGCTCAAGCAAACACCAAGTGTTTGTGGTAATGTCAAGGTATGGCTATGTATGGCTTGAGTTATTGAGTGTGCATTGTGTTAGGAACTAATTATAATTCTCATTCTATTTTGTTGGATGCTCATGGATAATTTTGTTTTTGAATGTTTGATGAATGCATTAAATGTACGTGTGTGCGTGTTATGGGTGATTGGATTGATGCATATGGTCATGATGCCACATTGTTGAATGCTTATGCAATATGTTCATGTTGGTATATTTTTGAATGGTCCTAGCATGAGGTGATTGTATTGTCTTCTGATTTTCCAGGCTTGTGACAATTTGAACCAAAATGGGGTTGCTTGATCATGAGGCCAACACTATGATGAAACTGGAATGGAGTTGCATGCCCATGTATATTCAATGGTATGCTGGTTTTTTCTGGTTCATATGACATGTTTAATGATGATAATGCATGTATGTTTATGATTTTAGGTTTGTTTCTTCTTTGTGCTAGTTTATGCTTTGAAATGGTCATGAAATGTTTATTTTCAGAATTTCATGGTGTTTTGGCAATGCATTGGTGCATGGACATGCTTGTGGTCTGTTTTCCAACTGCTACTAAAGTAGATGTGTCATGGCAGAACATTTTGGATACACCGGGGCATGGTTACCAGCATAGCAGCAACATGGAAATGTTAGTTGATGATTCCTTATGTAAAACATGATTCTTGTCTGTTACATAAATTCCTACTGATGAAGCTTTTGACTATATCATCAGGATGTGGCTAGTTGATTTTGCAGACTGGAGCATGATAGAGTGTCAGGGATGAACCATGTGGTTTGTTTGATTGATGCTCAGGTGCAAGCCTTATTAAGATGTAATGGTTGTCATGTGTTAATTGTTTTTGATGCCATGTTCATTATGGTTTTTAGCAAGTGAATGGTATTTTTGGTTGGGCATATGTGGTTGAAAGGTTATTTTGATGATTGATGTTGTTGATGTAGTGACATGTTTCTGGTTGTAGGCAAGCTAATATGAGCAGTTGTATGCAGGGATTCTATTTGTGTTTGTTACAGGTCTTGTTCTGATGGCATGTAATGGTAGTGATGCAAGTATAGTAGACTGGTGGCATACCCATTTGGAAGTTGGGCCTTCATTTTGGCATACATTTGACATGGAAACTTATGGCATACATGATGTAAATTCAATTAATCATGTCGATGGAGAAGATTGACATGAGAATATGATTTCATGCTTTCCATGCACATGACCAAAGAATTACCAAATTGCCAAAAGTGAAAAATACATTTTTACAATTAAACTTGCACAAAAAGTTTTCACCATGCCAGCTCATTGTACTCCTTCTAACCAACTTGTATTAAGCCAAAAACCAAGCTTAACCATGGTTAGGTAAATTCTTATTCAAAACCTACCCCATGCGCATTTTTCTTGCAAAAGGAACCTCTAAACTTCAAATGAAACAAACCTTTTAACCTTGATTAAACCTCACTCTAACCCTAAATGTTCTAACAATATAATGATATTCCCTATAAACCTTCATTCAAATGATTTTGTTGGCATGATTTGATTGGTTGTGATGTTTAATTTTTGTTTTTATTTCAAATAAATATTTGAATATTAAAAGGAAAATGAAAATTGGAAAATGGCATGGACTTGATGATGTTGGGCCTGCGTACACTTTGATATTTACACCCCACCCTAATCTGATGTTACCTTTTTTGGGTTAAACTGATTTGTCTGTTTTTGTTGTGGCAGCGCTAGAATGGGCCTTTGGGTTTGATTTTCTTTGATTTTCACACTCCAGGCCACACAGACATATCTCCAAACTTATCTATATTTCTTTTTTATTACTTTGTTTTATTTTACTGTTTGAAAAATGGTAAAAGAAATAGAAATGAATGTTTTCTCTAGGATTTATTTTTGGATTTTAGTTTGATCTCTTGATGAATCCTTTTGATCACATATAACGACATGCCTTTGATGATGCTTTGATTGAATTCTCATATTACCATGATTTGTTTGATGATTGAGGTATTGTTTGTTTGGTTCTAAATCACTTATTTACAATGAATTTGAAATCTTTCTTTGGTAATTGATTTATGTTAGGATATTGATGCAATGGTATGAAGTTTGAAATGTTTGAGTGCTTGTCCTTTTGAGTGGATGTTTGTCTCAAACCTTAATACATGAACCCTAATGACATGATACCTTGAACACTTTTCTTTGATATTGATGCTTTGATATAGTGCAAGTTGTGATACCTTGATTTGCTATAAGATATTTTAGAAGCATGACTTAGGTTTTCACAATGTTTATTTGAGTTTTTATGCTAAGCCTTTCTTGATGCCATGATACACCTTACCTTTTTAGTTGTGATGATGTATGATGGTCTTGATGCATGATTTAGGTATCCAAACTTGAGGTTATTTGAGATGTTTTCTTTTGAGGTTTTATGTTTATTGTTGAATAATTTCTAAATTCCATGATGCCTTGACTTGACAAGTGTTATGTCTCTTTTGATACTTCTTTGTGATGACCTTGAGGATTTGGAGTGTGCTTGACCGTGACATGTTTTGATGCTTTCTTCGTTGATTTGTGTTGTTGTTTCTTGGACCAGTTCTTATGTCATGTTTTGGATACATGTCTTGATTTAATTACTTTGGTTAATACTTGAGATGCTTAGGTTTGATGTTTAATATAGAAATGTTCACATGTTTACTTGATTCATGTTTAGATGTTTTCTCTTGAGTACTTTTTTACCATGATACTTGTTTGCTTCCATGATTTGGTCTTGACTTATAACATGACATGTGCTTCTTTTTGTTTGACTCTTACTTGAGCATGGTTTCCACTTTATCTCTATACATCCCGAAATATTTGTATCAAGGTCGAGGTACGAACTCAAATAAATAATGAAGAACAAGGCCGTCCTTAAGAGACTGGAGCCAACTACTTAGTTAGGCCCGGTCGGATATAAGCTCGGCACAATACTGCCGATTTATAGGAAGTCGGACCCGAGGAGGGTAAGAGGTGTAATTGTAACCTAATGATAAGACACACGTTATAAAGTCATTAAGAGACAATTACAAGCGTTACAAAGTCATTAAATGAGTTGTTACAAACGTTACAGAATGACTTAATCGCCATTAGACCAATGATTTTTCTTTATAAAGGATCCTTGATGAATAGAAAAAGGATCTCTCTGCGACGTACACAAAGCAGACACAATATACCATACATGAGGGGCTCCTACAAAAGGGATAAGTAAAACAATAAGCATACTGACGTAGATCCCAAATCTCCAATAATACTGCAAATCTATTTTTGTGGTTTTCCTCTCACCTCTAGAGAGAAAAACCGGCCGAATATTTGTTCTATGCAAAAATATCGACACCCACATTGAGACTTCGGTAAAACTAACCCGGACTTCAAGATTTATCTTACTGGACACAAGTGTTAACAACCCAGAATTCCATCAACGTTGGTTATCTAAAAAACCATTTTCTAATATAGAAATGAATACGATTTCATATTCGTGTCGACTATAATTTATAACTACACAATACAAGAGGTGGTTCAAAGGCGACCGCTGCAACCTGGACAGTTTAGTGTAAATGTTAAGATACAACCATCGGAATCATTAGCAACTTGGTTTGGGACCGGCTGTTCGAGAAACGAAGCCGTCTTCATCGACGTCGGAGTGATGCATATTGGAGAAATCTCGTTTAAATTCTCCTTCAGATTGTCGATGGGGCACCACATGGTTCGAAACCCTTAATCAAATCGTCAGCTGAATCTGTGACTCAGGAAAGGCTACCCGCTGCAATTGGGGTTGGATCTCGTCGTCGTCCTCTCGGCACCGTCAATATCCATAGTGCCTTAATTTGATTGTATCATCTCTCTCTAATACAGTGCAATAGCTCTATTTCATATATAGTATGAAAAAAACATGTAAAGGTGAAGTACTATCGCAGACTTATTTCTTGGAACTCTATATATATACTGTACAAACTAGGGGATGAAGACCGGCAGAATCAGGACTACAGAGTTTTCACAACCACACAAATACTACAATATATTCTCACAACACGGCATGACCACGTGTGTTGTAATTTATTTGAGTGCTTTCTAGGAGGTCTACAAATAGCTCCAACAAAGTAATAACGTTAAAAGGATAATCAAGCTGGTATGTAAAAGGTTAAAAGGTAACAATTCGCATACGACAAAGTGAAGTACGTCACACTACATCATGAATATCAAATTGCAAGTTGACATAGCTCGTACAACAAGCGTGTTATCTAGCAAAATCGAGGGGATGAACATGTCCAAAGTTTATATTTTAAATATTGTAGAATAAAACGAGCTATTATCTATGCCGTTCGTAAAAAAGTAAAAGATGTCGTTCTTTCTCCTGTGTGGATAGGAGATATCATATTCTTATTAGTCTCAACATTAGATGAGACTCGAATAAAATGTAAAAAATCTGTAAATCAGTTGTGGCCGAATAGTGATATTATAAACATTCGGCCTAAAAACTGAAAATATTTGTAACATTATTGTAAAAAGTAAAGTCAACTCGGTCAACTTCGTCTTCAAGTAGAGAAGTTCTGATCCAGCAAAAAGTTGAAGCACACTCAAAGTTTCTTGCACGGTTAACCTCGCCTTCGGACAAAGGAACTCTAACCGGATTAAATTGACGCACACTCAAAGCCTCTCACACGGTTAACCTCGCCTTCGGGCAAAAGGGCTCTAACCGGACTAAATCGACACACACTCAAAGCCTCTCACACTGTTAACTTCGCCTTCGGGCAAAAGGGCTCTAACGGGATTAAGTCAACGCGTACTCAAAGCCTCTCGCATGGTTAACCCCGGCTTCTGGCAAAGGGGCTCAAATCAGATTAAGTCGACGCGCACTCAAAGTCTCTTGCACGGTTAACCTCGCATTCGGGCAAATGGGCTCCAACTGGATTAAGTCGACGCGCACTCAAAGCCTCTCACACGGTTAACCTCGCCTTCAGGAAAATGGGCTCTAACCGGATTAAGTTGACACGCACTCAAAGCCTCTCACAAGATTAACATCGCCTTCTGGCAAAGGGGCTCAAACAGAATTAAGTCGACGTGCACTCAAAGTCTATCGCACGGTCAACCTCGTCTTCGAGTAGAGAGGCTCTAATCCGGTAAAAAGACGAAGCGCACTTCACGCCTTTCATAAATTAGATCAACCTCGCCTCCGAGTAGAAAGGCTTTGACCTAGAAAAAGCCCAGGCGCGCTTAAAAATCTTTGACAAAAGTCGGTTAAACCCCATGGCCTCTATCAGCGACATAAGGGTCGAGTTAAACTCCTGATAAGTGCAAAAGTGTAGTTATTTTGTATATACTTTTTGTTGCACTTATTGACTCTTTGTTGTTAATATTAGTTGAATAACTCCGCTTTTTGTTGTAAATGCATTTAGTTGCTTTTGAGTACATATTGTATCAGTTGATTAGTTTTATATATGTTTTGTATGTATTTGAGCATGGTTGGAGAAATGAGGAATAAAAGCTCTAAGATGCATTTTTGGATCAATAAAGAAATAAGGCAAATATTGGAGGCCAGGTGAAGTTGTGTAGAGAAAGCAACATAAGTTGCTGGACTGTCATGCGTCGTCAGGCAAAATTACTGTCGTCGGGCGACAATGGGCGAGAAGACCAATTTTGGTGTTGCCTCTGCCTTGCTTCGCGTATAGGTCGCCGGACGAAAATAAAGAGAGTCGTCGGGCGAAGCAGTGTGTCGTCGGGAGACGTTAGATATTTGTTTCAGTTGAGGCTGTGGCTTATTTTGGGCCAAGTGTATAGAAGTCGTCGTCGGGTGAAGCTTTATGTCGCCAGGCGACGCGTGCGGATCAGAAATTCTTTATATTTCATTTTGTGTCATTTTTGTTAGGGATGGTTTTGGGGGTGAGTTTTTATTCTCCCAACTCCATCAAACTCATTTTTGTAGTGGATTAACTTAGATAACAATACTAGGACTTTGCTTATAGATGATTGAAGGTGGATTTCTCATTGTCTGGAGCTGACAAACTGAAAGATTTGAGGTTTATCTCTTCTCCTCTCTATGTATTTCTCTTTTGTTGGGTTTTGTATGTATTTTACTTTGAACTTATATATAGTTTATCGCCCATGGAGTTATATTAAACTTGCTTTACAAATCTTTGTGGATTGTTGTCTTAGATTTTTGCCATGTGCTAGGGATTTGAGTTTTTATAGACATATACTGCTTAGATTCTTATCTAGGATGATTATCTGTTAGTTTCTGAACTCTAGAGATAGATTTAAAGCTGACATCTACTTGGGTATCAAAGCTTAATGCCTCTGTGATTGTACTATGCTGAGAGATCTTTAGTGCGATTACATAATTGTCTTTTGTATTGTTGAGGAGATACAGAGATCATTTCCTTGGTGATACAATCAGTCTCTCGATTTGGGTTAGAAATGACTTAGGTTGTGAGTGAGACGTAGTGACATTGATGAGTATTGTTAGGATGAATGTAATTGGTCGGTAGATTTAAGTCTATGATGAGTAGATTGTATGCAGGCTTGATAAGTTCTTCCTTAGTTTTTTCTTTTGTTTACATTTATTTTCTGTTGATACTTTTCTTTTCAACCCATTTATCCCCAAACTCATTAGCGAGAGATTTGTCGAACGGGGATTCAATAACCAATCTTTATGGACACGATACGATATAACCTAAATATCACCCTGTAAATTAATAACTTACTTTTTGCTTGCCGCTATATACCACAACAACAACTCCCCAACATAAGGGTCGAGTTACTACTCCCCACATAAGAGTCGAGTTACCACTCCCCACATAAGGGTCGAGTTCCATAATTAACACTCCCCTTATAAGGGTTGAGTTTCATAAATTAAATGCTCCCCGTATAAAGGGTCAAGCATTATTGACAATCCCAATATGAGGGACGAGTATCCCAAAGAAAAGGAACGTTAAATCAAACGGATAGAGCCTAGTGAGGCGATTCCGAAGACACAATAAGTTCACTTGGGGATCGTTAGCACGTAACTAAACAAGTGAATGATCGCCAAGCCTCATACAAGCTTGGGGCTCTTAAGGGATATGCCAAGGCTGATTTCATAAAACAATCAAAGGTGACATAAAGCTGAGTACATAACTCCTAAGTGCTTATTCATGTAGACTTCGTATCTGGGATAACCAACATGGAATAACAAGCAAGCAGAGCTAAAGAATCGACACTCCGAGCATGCTTAGGGCTCATGCGAGTGTGATCTCTCACTTGTGATGTTACCCAGATAATCGAGAGGCCATTGGACATATCAAGGATACAACCAAGTCTATAACCTATATGGGACTGTGATAGGCTCGAAAAATCCCAAATAAGAGACATGAAAGTCGCTGGGGCTCTTAAGCTTAAAATAATGCCCAACACTACATGATCATACACATATAACCCGTAGGACTTTTATGTTTGAGGGGCTTATATATATATATATATATATATATATATATATATATATATATATATATATATATATATATATATATATATATATATATATATATATATATATATATATATATATATATATATATATATATATATATATATATATATATATATATATATATATATATATATATATATATATATATATATATATATATATATATATATATACCGAATTATATTTAAAGCTAAAAATGCAAGCAAAAAGCTGCAGAAAGCTAAAGATGAAAATAAAATAAAAATGACAAATACGATTATAAAATCCACAAAGAGCGGTTCGAAAATACAAAACCCACAGGAAAAAGTCATAGTTATACACTTTAGGGCCTCTGTCTGCCACTAATGAGACTCCCCATATAAGGGTCGAGTACTATAAGTACTCCTCGTATAAAGAGTCAAGTTCTACAATAAATACTCCTTGCATAAGAGGCGAAACCTTACACCCCTCATCAATAGAGTTAAATACATCACTGGAGTGGAATCAAGGCCCAGATGGCTAACTCTTCCTCCAAGTAATGAAAATCTACAAAAAGCGGTCAAATATCGTGACTCCTCGGCTATGTTGGTATGCATTGAGCTCGGTCATGTTAGTATACCTTTGACCATTATCCAATGAAACCTAGGGATTTTATTTTATCACCACCGAAAATAATACCTACCTTAACGACGAGAGTATTCTAAACTGGACGGACAAAACTCATTGTGATAACCGTTAAACAAAGTTCAGTTGGGACCATTACCTCGAAGATATGAAAAAATGGATGATCGCCCAACCTCTAACAGGATTGGAGCATATAAAATAAGCACCATTGCTGATTTCATAAAACAACCAAAAATGTTTACGTTCCAGTCGTATCCGAACACTTCTTTCCTGCAGCAATCCATACCCAGAGAAGCTTAACGTATACACCTCGAGATATTTTATCTAAACCGGGACATGAATTTGGTTAAATGCCAAGGGGCTCTAGACGCCTATTGAAAAAATTCCTAAAGTGTGGTAGATTTCTGAGTTAAAACAAAGATCTCTGTCCAAATCGACTCAAAAGTCAGGGATAAAACGAACATTAATCTCACTACTTTGTGATACTACCTAAGATAGTTTAATCGGATACTGAATAAACAGACCAAAAGTATGAAACATCCTGTGAAAATATTGGATGTAGACCCCGGTAAGCATAAGTGTAAATGGGGTAATCAGGCCCTTGACATATACTAAAGTCGGGTGGTTTATATCTCCA